TCAATACCGCAGACACTGCTGTTCCTGCAGAGTTCTAACAGCGTCGTCAAGGATACCAGTCTGCCAAGACAGGAAGGAAAACGGGGCGAGTCTGAATTCCAGGAGTTGAACCCCTGGTGTAATGATAGCAATTTCTTCTTGTTTTTTTTTAAACTCACCAGGGGAACTGGTGGCTGTGTTGCGGAGTGCAAATGAAGCACCCAAACACAGCCTGGCTAGATCTCAAGTCACTTCCCCTGGACGTTCTGGGCCTTCCCCTGCAAGTGTAACGGCGCCATGCAACTCGGAGAGATGCCACTGTCTCCACTCAACAGATCCCAGGCTGGATAAGGTCACAATGGCCCCTTTGAGGCTGCAGCTGTACACCTGTGATGCCATGTGAACTACAAGGGAGACAAAAGCAGGCAGAAGAAAGAGCCTTTTGAGAGGGGGAAAAAGAGGCCAGGGCTCTGGGGACTGGCTCGGTTATATTTGCTGTGTAAGGCGGGCACTAGCCAGCGCCGCTAAGATAGCTTTCCCGCCTTGTGCATTTAATTAGCAACCATTTGTACTTATCTTGCATCTTCCACTCAGTCACCTCAAGCGGGTCAATATCATTTTGAGCAGAAAGAACAGGCAGGGAGAGTCACAGAACAGACACTTTCTCACCTGCTCGTTACAGAGAGTGAAGAATGTGTGTCCCATCACAGGGCACACTGGGTGGAAGTACCTGACATCTTACGTGGCTCTCCCCATTCTGCCTGCAACCCCCACGCTCACAAACAGGCCTTCTTCTGTGACTTGGTGAAATGCCTCGTGTGCTGGGCACATTGTTCTGAGACTTGATCAATAATTAATAAGCAGAGCACAGTTTGGAATTGTGGAGGAAGAGTTCTCCAGCTCACCCCGCTGCAGGGGATGTCGGCGGCGTCAGTCGATGGGAGTCCTCGGCCCTCAGGGAAGCTCCCTTCCCTGAGCAAAGCTCATCTGTTCCCTATCTCTTGGCGTGCAAGGTGTCCTGCTTGCCTCACTGTGCTGCTCCTGGCTTCCGTGTCTCAAAGAAATCTTGCCTCCCTACCACCCAGGACCTTTGGCACACTCATTTTGAATGAAAGGGAATCAGAGACTTAGGGTGACCCCTGGAAGTTTCTACCCAGAGTTGGCAAAGAAACTCTCTCCCTTCCTTCTCAATCCCCTACTTTTCCTCAATTAAGATTACCAGGAAGCTAGGGAGCTCCATAATGTTCTATGACTGCTGACATCAGGACACTTGCTTGAAGGGAGCTGCTGAGCCTCCATTGCTTAGTTTGCTGAGGCCTAACTCTCCTTGTTGCTCCAGAGAGCAAGACTGGGCCATAGCAGGAGGTGGAGTGACTGTCTGCCACTGCTTTTGCCTCTTTGACAGGTGCAAAGATGACCATGCAGCCCCCTACGTGGGGGGCTGCTGCCTATGTAACCAACCGATGGCAAAGGGAGCCCTTGGTGAAACTTGTGCCCAAGACCCCAGACTTCTAGCCACAGCAGCACTCCTGGAGGTTGGTAGAGCAACCACTGGCAAGCAGGCAGTCCAACGCTTGCTTCAGTTTCATAGAATTGTTGGAGCTGGATAGTTGTTGGATCAAAGAGGATTCAAGTCTCCTAAGAATTTCCATGGCTGCAGTACTATGTTGAAAAGAATGCTGAGGCCTCTTCTTGTCTTGGCAGGAAAAAGTGTTTGGGGAGAATGGGGTAGAGAGGTGTGCAGGTTTTGAGGTGCATAAAAAAGGGTGCTGGGAAGGTTTGTCACCGGCCCAGAAGGTGGGCGTGTGGGGATAGCAAGAATGTTTGTATTTACCACTGCTGACTTCGGTCAACCCCTTTACAAAGAAACTGAAAACACACACAAAAATGGAGACCGGATTGATTTCCTCACTGTAATAACGAGCGGCAGAGTGGGGACTAAAAGTCTGGCCAGGCCCCACCGACAATCCCTGAGCCACAGACTAATCTCATGCCCTCTTTGCTTTTCCTTCTCAACCCCAGGACCCTGCTGCCCCGTTCAGGGCGGGGACGGCCTGGAACTGCAGCAGACAGCTCCGGAGCTGCCAGGAGAGGGCCGGACAATCACAGCGACTTGGGGTCGCGCTGGGTGGCAGCATTCTTCCCAGACCCTCCAGACACGGGGAAAATGCTCTATTGTGCAGTTCCTTGAGGCGTGCCTGCCCAGTGTCACCCTCAGAGGCCGGAATGAGCAAGTGGGGATAAAAGGGTGTGGCCCTAAACCCCATAGCCTAGTGTGAAGTCCAGAGGGAAGGGAAGGTTCAAGTGTCACAGGATGTGGAGTCTGGCTTGAGTGAGAATCCTGTGAGCTCTCCTGAGTCCCTCTGAGCCTGATTCTGCCGATACTTCCCTCAGAGGATTACAAAGAGGCACTTAATAAATATTTGTTAATCACACACACCACAGTTTTCTCTTCCCTCTGGGTTTTTGCCCATGCAGGATCTATGCTTGGAACATTTTTTATACTTTTTCTCCTGGGCTAGAATGCAAGTTCCCTGAGGGCAAAGACCACGGATCACTCCTCTGCATTCTCAGTGCCTAGCACTTACTAGGCCCTCCAAGAATATATGCTGGCTAACTTACTGAATTCTGTTCCCTCCTCCTTCATTCTCAGCCACAATAAAGAGCTTCAGGAAACAAAACAAAGAAAACCCCAGTTTTCAACAGGCTGCCAAACCAGAATGCTAATTTTTTTTTCTAAGTACTATAATTCTGTTTTATAAACCAAGTAAAGCAGCATAGAGCTTGGGTTTTAAACGCTGACATCAACTGTAAAAAGAAGAAATCCCCTAAGAGGAAACAGTGCCCTACAGGCAGAACTCACTATAGCTGCACAGCCTGGCTCCCCACGGCCGGGCCCTGACACTCCACCTGGCTGACAGAGTGGGGGTGTGCCCAAGGGCTTCCCACCCACGTCTCACTCTGTGCCAGCAGCAGGCAGGTGCGAGGGCAGTGACGACCAGAACCCTGAAACCGGAGGACACAGAGGACAGCATTCCTACCATCTTCCCCAGGGTGGGCCTGTCCTTTCTATGATCTCATCTCTTCGGACTGTCTCATTCTCAAAAAGCATTTGGAATGACTGTCATTGTTTTTTCAGGTCTATGGTCGTGTCAAGGGCTCTAAATAGAGTGACATCTTAGTTGGATGATTTTGGACAAGTGACTTTCAAGCTTCTTGAGCCTCAGTTACCTTGTCTGTAAAATAGGGAAAACAATGACCAAACTGGGGTAGTGTGAGTTTTAAATTCCACAATACATGTGGTGAACTTTGCCCAATGCCTGCCACATAGTAGCTATAGAATGAATGAGAGCGGCTTTCACCGTAAGACCTGGAGAATGCAAAATTCTGAAAGGGAATTTTCCGCAACAAAAGGGAAGGGAAGGACATCGGGGTATCTGGGAACTATCTGATAGAGAATCCGGAGCTCTGGACAAGAAGTAATGGCTATGGGGACCTCTGAAATTTCTGGAATGTTTGTCACTCTCCCATGTTGTCATTTTGTCCAGCACATAACTTCATTTAGATCAGCAGTTCAATTCTTTAAATGAAAAAGGCCCAGGTACATAGGGGAGCTCATTTTGGGGGAAAAGAAAGACACTCTAAAGTATCACAGGAAAAGCCTTAGTAGAGGAGGGAAGAGCTTAGTTTGGGAGGCAGAGCTGAAGAGAACGACATTCAGGATGTTGAAAGGAGAACAGGAGCTCCCTGGAGGCCTCCTTCTGGGAAGTTCCACAACCCCTCAGACCTGAGCAGACTGTTCCTCGTTCCCTCCCGGCTGCTCCCAGAACTCTGGCCCACAGTGCGAGCATCACAGACCATCACAGACCGTGTGGGCCTGGGGGACTCTGCTCGGACGCCCCTACCTGGTGTAACCTGACCTACATACCCAGTTACTAGGATGTGTAAAGGACACCCAATTCTTTCTGTGACAGTGCGGTTACCCTATCCCCCTAAGAGATGACTACAAAGAAGAGAATCCCAGCCTCTGGCCTCAGTCCATACACGATCAAGTCGGGTTGCCTGAATCTGGGTCAGAAGGGGAAGCTGCCATTCCGAGGCAGAGGGAGAGCTGCCGGCCTGCCTGCCGCCCGTCCATACCCACAGGGCACCGGTTCTCAACCCTTTGGGCCTGGGCAGCAGAGTCACTTTACAAACACACTGATTTCAGGGCCCCCCTAGACTTACTAAGTACTTCAGGGGTGGTGCCTGGGAATATGTGGTTTCTAAAAGTGTCATAGGTGACTGACATGTGAAGCCAAGGTTGAATACAATCCTTCATGGAAGTACTGTGTTTTGAACTTCTGGGAAATTACTAGGGTCCCATAGAAGGAGACAAGACAAGTTGTCTTTTTTCCCTAAGTGGCCTCTGCAACCAGTCTGTTCCGGCTTCCCTAGCTCTCCAGGAGGAGGCGATCATCAGGAGGCAGCTGCCCTCAACTGCCCAACCTTCCCAGGCCTTTCCAGAGGGTCCCTGAACATCGGAGATGCCTTCCTCAGCACCACAGAATCCAATAAAGGCGCACTTCTTACTGAAACCAGATACAGACTTAATAACATTTTTGGAGCACCTGTTTTGTGGCAGGCCCTGCACCAGACACATAAATCACAAGCCTGCGAGAGAGGCACTACATTGTTCCTGTCTCAGGTACATTTTTGGAAAAGGTGCGATCATCAGAGATTTACCAGCTCATTACAGCACTGTCCTCACGGTAATTCATTACTTATGATGAACATACAATCTGGGGTTTACTGGTGATTTATTACTCATGATCAACATACACTTTGGGGTTTACTGGTGATTTATTACTTATGAGCAACATACAATTTGGGGTTTATTGACCGATGAGTCTTCTCAAAATTCTTTTGGCCTCAATTCAAATGGTGGATGTGGCTAGGCTGAGTGAATGACCTTGAATTTATCTGAAGCATATCCCCTTGGGCTGTCAAAACATCCAGCTCACTTTTTTTTTTTTTTAAGTAAAAATATGGAACGCTTCACGAATTTGTGTGCCACCCTTGCACAGAGACTATGCCATCTCCTCTGAGTTGTTCCGATTTTAGTATATGTGCTGCTGGAGCAAGCACCCTAGCCTGCATTTTAATCACGAGAATAATCCCCTCTGCCTATCCTCCGGAAAACAATCAAACTATTTGCTGGAAATCAAAGAGTTGTAAACAAGGGACTGCAGGAGGGTGTGTAGGTACTTTTTGGCACTAGACTGATCTCAGCTGATGAGCACAATGAGCTATGATTATGTCGTCTCCATTTTTAAGGATGATGAACCCAAGGCTCAGAGAACCTCAGCAACTTGCCAAACACACTGCGAGGACAGGGAGGGCAAGGATTTGATCCCAGGTCTTCTGAATCCCAGATCAGTGCTTTCACCTTGGCTTCACTACTGTCTACACTAGCCCTTTTGAATAGCTATACAGGAGATATTTCAGGGTCAGTTCCAGAGCACTGCAACAAGGCGATTATATCCAGAGTCTTAACCTTATTGCCGGTATAGGGTCTTGCTTTCAGTTTGCAAAGCACCCTACATCTGCAAAATGCAATAAAATGAGGTATGCCTGTACTTACTTATGTGCAGATTTAGAACGGCTGACGAGTCACACACATACTGTCTTCATCAGCCACGTGCAAAAACCATTGATTAATATCTACCAGAATTTTAGGAGGACATAATTATGAAAGTAATGAGGCTTAGAGGGGCTGAATGACTTGTCCCAGATCATACAGCTACTAAGAGGCTGAGTATGCATTTGACCTTAGGTCTGTATTGACTCCAAAATAGGAGCACTTTGTAGCTAAAGGCACACATATAGTGCAGCGGGAGGAAATCACATCAGAATAGATGTCAGAAGCCTTGGCTTCCCGTTCCGGTTCCAATCTTTATTAGCAAAGCACTTTGGACAAGTCCTCTGTCCTTTGTAAACTGGAAACAACGATCGCTGACCTACTTTACTGAGAAGTGAAGATCCAAATGGATGTAAAAGGATTCTGAAATTCCCCTCCAAAAAAATAATAGAAGGTAAGAACGTAGGCAGATCAGTTAGTCAGACCTGGATTCAAATTTTGACTCTGCCACTTATTGGCTGGGTGACGTTGGGCAAGTGATTTTACCTCTCTTGTGCCTCAGTTTTCTCATCTGAAAAATGGGTCTAAGTCAAGTGCCTACCCCAAAGGTGGTTGTGACGATTAAATGAGAGCATCCATTTACACAGGGATTGCCTGACACAGAGTACTCGACCAATAAACGTCAGCCACTATTACCGTTATAACGGTGCCCCTCGGGTCTTCAACTTCTTAGAAACACGAACTTTCCAAGCTACCAAACGTACCCTGGGCTTCAGTTTCGGTCCTACTATTCTTTGCCTTCTTCCTTGGACCTTTTCTCTTCCTTCCCAGCCCCCTTCTCCACAGCCGTCTTAAAACCCTACAAGAACCCCAGTCCCCGTGCCCCGGTTCGGCGCTGTCTCTTACTCGACCACCTTGGGTGGGTGCCCGTGTTGCTCATAGACCAGCGCCCGGACCCGGGAGGGGTCGGCAGATGCAGAGTAGGAGGCGGCAGCAGAAGGGCGGCAGCCGCAGGCAGGTAGCAGCCTCCGCCGCAGCTGGGCCGGGGTTCGCGCAAACCGCAGAGTGCCGCCGGCCCACATGTTCATTCCAGGGAACTCTCAGCCGGACGCCTGGGGTACGTCATCTTCCCGCGACCGCGCGCCTGCTCCCCTACCGCTGCCCGGCCTCGTGACCACGCCCCTCGCTCCTGTTAAAGGGCCGTCCCCTTCCTCGACCGCCGGAGCGGCGGCCACTGGTGAGACTGCGTGAAGAGAGGGATGTGTGGTGGAGGGACCTGCAGGAGTCGCGGAAATTTCGAGCCTGCCATAGTTGATCTCCCAAGAAGCGGGGCTTGAGACTGGCCTAAAGCTGTGTCTGAAATCTGCGATCTGTTGCTTGATTTAGGGGAAGACACTTCCCCTCCCCTGGCCTCAGTTTCTCTTTCTCCCGACCATTTATAGAACGCTCACTGTGCCAGGCCATTAAAGGCATGATCTCATTTAATCCACACTATCTTCTAATAGCATAGGGAGGCAAAGATGACTTCCCTCCATTAGTAGGATACATGTAATCTGATGTGGAGGCAAGAGTACTGGGTTTGTAGTTAGAAGATAAAGGTTCAGACTCCAGGCCTGCCGCTTCCCAGCTTGGCCCCATCGGACGAGTGACTGAAACGTGGAGTCTGTTTTCTCATAGGTACATGCGAGAGAATAGACCTCCTTCAAGATTGTTGTGAGGATTGGATGAAACAATCGAATAAAGTTATCAGGGACGGGAGAGCGCCTTGTAAAATACTGTGCGTTCAGTTGTAAGGGAGGATTCACAAAGAGGAGGACCCCCTTTGAAAATGCTCAATGTAGAAAAGGATTAAGTTGGACAATGGAAGTGCTTTGTAAAAAGATGTAGTCCAGTAAAGACACTGGATCGTATTTTTTGGTAGAGTGAAGACAGAAGCTTAACTAAAGTCTCAGTTGAACGTTAAGAGCATGACAGAGGGCACTGCTGGGATCCAGGAGAGAGGTGTCTGGGGAGGGGCTGGGGGAGGGGATTTTGGAGGAGGTGGTGTCAGAGCCAGTCCTGTGACTCAAAACCTTCAATATGCATAAAAAACACCTGAGGTTTCATCTCAGGTTTCACCTGAGGTTAGATCTACTGAATTAGAATCTTGGGGAGGCGTCCAGAAATGTACATTTCTTACAGACTCTTAATATTCTGATGCAGGTGGCCCAGGAAACAGGCTTTGAGAAACACTGAGCTCAGCTTTGAAGGATAGGGAAGAGTTCCTTTCTCTGGATTTGATTGACCCAAAGCTTTTTAACTCAGAACCGTTTCTCTGAGGAAGAGAAGAAAGCAAAGTGCTGTGACGAAGGGTGCAGGTGCTGGATTCTGGCAAATCTGGGTTTGAGTCCTGGCGCAGCCACTTTCTAAAACCACTTCAAAGTGATTTTGGACAAGTCACTTGGCCTCTCTGTGTCTCCATTTCCTTATCCTTAAAATGAGGGAAATAATAGTGTCTGTTTCAAGGCTGTTGTGAGGATCAAGTGAGATATTCACTTCACTTGAAGCACTTAGCACAGAAATGCTTGGCACATGAAAGAATTTGATGAATGTCTTTTGGGGGTTATTGTGAAGGTTAAATGAGAGATATTACATGTAAAACATACAGACCAGGGTCTGGCTCATAGGATGTGCTCAAAGTGCTTGTATTTGCTTTTTCTTTTTTTAGTGTGTTTATTGATTTTTAGAGAGAGAGGAAGGGAGATAGAGAGAGCAACATCAATTGTTGCCTCCCATATACACTTCTGACTGGGGATTGAACCCATAACCTAGGCATGTGCACTGATGGAGAATTGAACTGGCGACATCTAATCAACTAAGCCACACTGGCAAGGCCTGTACTTGCTTTTATTATAGAAAAAGTTGGTGTCCCATCATGGGGGAAAGACTTGGTTCCATACTGTGCTCGTGCTGGCAGACACACACACACACACACACACACACACACACACACACCCCCCCCCCCCCATCTTGCTTATCTTCTATTTTCACAGTGACACACAGGGCAACTTCTCTAGTAAGACTCCCTAGGTGACATTGAGCTGTTGACATTATCTTCTCCACCAAATTGGCTCCTCTCAATTCTGTGGGCAGCCTGGCAGGTCTTCCACTTTGGGGCTGGTTTTAGTCCCCATCCATCCTGATAACCTTCACTTTCTGTTCAGGCCCTCAGCTTGTAACTGCGTCAACAGCCTCTTCTTGACTGAGATCCCTTCCCTTCTTTCTGCCTCCCTGATTCCTTTAGAGAGAACCAGAAACTACAGTTCTTTGTAAAACACCACTAGCTATTGATATATTAAAATTGTAAATAAAACTATGATTCTATGCTAATTCTATCATTCTCTCATACTGCTGACATTTACTGAAGTATTCAGAAAAATGTATGAGGAAAAACACCTTAAAGCAACAAAAAAATTACATTCATTGTAATTAATTTCCCTTCTTGCAAATTAGAAAAATATGACTGGTTTTAATGCAGTGGGAAAACCCTTCCATTTGACTTGAGAAACACCTGGGTCCCCCCAGGGGCAAGTTTGAAAACCATTGATCTAAGGGGTCAAGTCCAATAGTCCTGGGCTTGCATCAAGAGCTTTGCACTCTGTCTCCCACTGTGTCTTTATCTCCTGCTGTTGGACCGTGTACAGCCCGTGATCCAACTGTACCTGGTACCCACCTTTCTCAGAACTTCCATGTCTCATGTCTTTATTTAGCCTGCTCCTTCCGTTTGATATGCTTCTCCCTGCCTTGCCTATCTGGGAAACTCTGGGTTCACATTATTTCTTGATTGTTGTTTCCCGAATTCCTAGGTTGAGTCAACCCCTGTTGCCTTTGCGTTTTCTCTGGAAAGGTGTACAGCCTTCAGAACACAGACTCTTATTTATTTATGTGCCCATTTCCCCCTCCAGGCAAGAGTGGAGCTCTGCCTGTTTGGTGCATGCCCATGATGCCAGCACCCAATATGGGGCCTGGCACAGGGTAGGTGTCATAAATATTCCATGAGTTGAAAGTAATTGAATTTCCTCATGGCCTGGCCCTGCCCATGACGCCGTCTCCTTTGCCTTAAATTTGGGTCAATTGGGGCAGGACTTTCCTTCTTTCTTCCTTCTTAGAGAAGTTTATGGTCTTTTTCAAGTGAAGCAGAATGGTCTCTTTTCTGCTCTGGCTGGTGTGGCTCAGTGGATTGAGTGCTGGCCTGTGAACTGAGAGGTCACTGGTTGGATTCCCAGTCAGGGCACAGGGTTGCGGGCCAGGTCCCCAGTTGGGGGGATGTGGGAGGCATCTGATCAATGTATCTCTCACACATGGGTGTTTCTCTCCCTGTCTTTCTCCCTCCCTTCCCCTCTCTCTAAAAATAAATAAATAAAATCTATAATAAAAAAAGAATGTTCTCTTTTCATTTGTCCACCTGTTGCTTGTGTTCTTTCTCCATCCATCCCAGCCTCTGCCCTGTAGACTTCCCTGCACAGAGTGGAGGAGTGGAATCAGTCCGGTGTGGGTTTGTGTCCTGGGCCCACCGTTTACCAGCCACGTGACCTTTGGCAAGTGCCTTATGCTCTCTGAGCCTTGGTTTCCACATCCAAAAAAGGTGAATCCGTGGTATACCTCTGTCAGAAGCCCCCATAAGAGTTGTCTGCAAACAGCAGCATCCTTGGTTGTTTCTGTTCACCGGATTTCTCTCCTGGAGTTTCATTTTCTGGGTAGTACCTTCTGTCTCTTCTCTGCTCTAGCATCTCTCTGTCTCTATTGTCTCTCATCACCATTTTTTAAAATAAAGATTTTATTTATTTATAGAGAGAGGGAAAGGGAAGAAGGAAGAAAGAAACACCAATGTGAGAGAGAGACATTGATCGGTTACCTCTCATATGCACCCTGACCAGGGACTGAACCTGCAACCCAGGCATGTGCCTTGACCAGGAATCGAACTGGTAACCTTTTGCTTTGTAGAACAATGCCCAGCCAACTGAGCCACACCAGTCCAGGCCCCATCACCTTCTTTCTGGCTTCTATCTGTCTCCCTGTGACTCTCTCTCTTTCACTTTCTGCCCCTGGTCCTGGCCTGCTGTCTTTTTGGCACCTTCTTGGCTCAGCCTTGGAACTCATCAGGGCTCGCCAGAAAGGAGACCAAGAGCCCAGGCGTCCTCAGCCTTGCCTCCTCCAGGCCAGAGCAACCTCAACTGTACCAGCCCCAGTGCGGAGGCAGCAGACAGCAGGGGCAGTGCACAGGAAGGGCCTAGGTACACCTTGAACTGCCCGGCACTGTTTGACATCACTGACCGCCTAGTTAGATCCCTTTGCCCAGGGGTCTCTGCTTCCTCAGCCTGCTCTCTCTTTGGCAGTTTAGGGGACTTTTTTTATTTATTAAAAAAAAAAAGAAAGAGATCAGAACCTTTACCTTTTCTGCTTAATGCTTCAATGGCTTCCCACTGCCTTTAGGGTTTAACCCAAAGCCCCCATAGTTTTTTGTATGACCTTCTCAGCCTTTAGAGCTGCACTTGGCCTCCCTTTCCTCCCCACTCACTCTATTCCAGCCACCTTGGCTTCTCTGCTCCTTAGAAGCACCAGCTTCTCCCTCCGCACAGGCTCTCCTCTCTGGCTGCAGTGTTCCTCCGCCGTGATTGCACGAGGCTAGCTCCTTCTCATACCTCAGGCGTCAGCTCAGATGTCACCACACCACTTGCTCAGGGAACCCCTCTTGGATTATCTTAACTAACGTAGATCCTCCCCCACCCCTCCAGTTATTTATCATAACATGCCATTCATTTCTCTTAGAATATACATCACAGATTGTAATGATATATTTATTGCATGTTTGCTATTGGTCTCTCCCCCAAAATGTAAGCTTCATGAGGGCAAGGACAATGTCTATATTCATTCATTCAATCAATCATTCATTCATCCATTCACTATTTATTGAGCACTGACTACGTATCAGATACCATGTGCTGGAATAAGACAGAGTCCTTGCCCTTAGGCAGCTTATGTTCTAGGGGTGGAGACAAATAATGAATATGTCATATAGTGGCTGTGCTGTTTAAAACTGCAATTACCTGCTTCTCCCCTCACTGGTCCTCTCTCCCATTTCTCTGGTATATCACTGTCTCATATACTGTTTTTGCTGTTTTTGATTGTTTATTTTCCTTATTTTCTCTTTGGATATAAGCTCCACGAGGGTAGGGATTTTTGTCATTTTATATCTACGCTTTGACTTAGCAATTGTTGAATAAATGAATCAGTATTCAGTATTTGTTGATTTGTTCCAGATGAAAGACAGGTCTCAGTCCCAATTCAATTCCTAGGTGACCTTCATTCAAATCTTTCTGCTGCTGCATACTACTCCTGCATAACCTTTGAAGAGTCACCTCTATTTCTGTATTTCAATTTTCTCAGCTATGTAGTGGGAATAATAGGGGTGAGGATTATGTGAGCCCATGTGGTTTGAGCACATAGAAGGTGTCTGGTCTTACATAGTAAGGGACAACTAGTTTGTAGACATTGTACAAGGGTTTATATTTGTTAGTAACCCTAATAATACTTAACCTGGGTGGCTAGAGAGTAGACTGGGACCAATGAGAGTTAGTGAGGGCGGTGGACTTCACAGAATGAAAAGGAAGAGCTTTCTAAAAGCCAGCATTGCAAAGAGAAATAGATGAATCCACTTCCATAGTTGAAGACTTCAACACCCCTCTGTCAGAAATGAACATTTCCAGCAGGCAGGAAATCAGCAAGGACATCGTTGAACTTCACATCATCAATCAACTGGATATAAGTGACATTTATAGACTATTCCATCCAACAACAGCACGACACCCATTCTACTTGAGTTCACATGGAATATTCACCAAGATAAACTACATTCAGGGCCATAAAATACATGTTAGCAAATTCAGAAGAATAGAACTCATATGATGATTGCTCTCAGAGCACAATGGAATGAACTGAACTGATAACAGAAAGAGCTGTAAAATCCCCAAATACTTGGAGATTAAATAAAACAATTCTAAATAGCACATGAATCAAAGAAGAAATCTCAAGGGAAATGTAAAACTATTTTGAACTAAACAAAAATTAAATGAAAATGAAAACACAGCTTATCAAAATTTGTGGGATTCAGCAAAAGCAGTGCTCAGAGGAAAATTTATAGCACCAACTGTATATATGAGAAAATAAGAAAGGTCAATTATCTAAGCTTTCGCATTAAGAAACTAGAAAAACAAAAGAGCAAATTAAATCCAAAGGAAGTAGAAGAAAAATAATAAAAATTAGAGCAGAAATCAGTGAAATTGAAAACAGAAAATCAGTAGAGAAAAATCAACCAAACCAGAAGCTGGTTCTTTAAAAAGATCAATAAATCAACAAGCCTCCAGCCAGGCTACCTAAGAAACGAAGAGAGAAGACACAGATTATTAATATCAGAAAGAAAGGCGGACATCACTACAGATCCCACGGACATTAAAAAGACAATGACCAACTCTAAAAGTTAACATTCCAAAGACCCAACCACCCGCCCTTTGGTGGGCGATGAGCTCCTTGTCCTTCAAGGTATGCATGAATGAACATTCAGAGGGGCACAGGTAGAGGAGATGCAAGCATCAGATGGGACGGAGAGGCTGGGTGACTTTGGGTCTCTGTCCCTGAGAGCAGTGTGAGAGGTAGGAGTGGACCGTGAGCGTGCTTGCTAAAGAATGTCGGTGTCAGTTCAATGCAGAGTTAGGTGGAGTCTGGGCCTAGTTGGGACCCCTAGGCGGGATGGGGAAGGGGGTGAGGGTGCCGAAGTGGGGGAGGGGCGCGCTCAGGCAGCCTTAGACCAGACCCTACGCTAGAATCCGAGGTTGCCACCAGGGGGCGCCTCGAGACCGCGGAACCCGTGGCGGGGACTGACGTCAGCGCCCCGCTTGCCTGGGCTCCCGCTCTGGACTCGGCGCCAGTCCCGGTCCGCTCCGCGCTGCTTCGCTCGGGCTCTAGCTTGCCTCGGGCTCGGCTCCGTCTCCCGCGGCGCCCCCCGCGCCCGGCTCCCGGGCAGACGGCGGCGCACCATGGCCCGCGCCCAGGCTCTCGTTCTGGCGCTTACCTTCCAGCTCTGCGCGCCCGAAACAGAGACTCCGGCAGGTAAGTGCGCGTCGGTCGGACCAAGCTTGCCTTGCGGAGTCCCCGGGCCCGTGGCGTAGCTGGGAAGAAAGTGTGAGTTTTGGATGACCGGGCATTACGAGCTTGCTCCCTGTGTGTGTCTGAGTGTAGGATGTGCGATTCTGTGTACATGGTGTTCTGTGTCTGCGAATGTTGTGTATCCATGAGTTGTGTGGGTAAGAAAAGGTGCTGTGTGTGTTGTGTGTTCACGAGTTTGTTGGAGTGAATGTTGTGTACATCGAGGCATTGGGTATGCGCAGAGTGTCTGTGTGTCTGCCTGGGTGTAGTGATTGTGCAGCCAAGTAGGTTGTGTGTCCGTTGTGTGTGCATCTGAGTTTGGATGGTTGGAGTTGTATCTGCTATGTGTTGCATTTGTTTGCATTTCGTATGCCGTGGCATGAAATGTTTGTTGTGCCTGAGAATGTGTTGTGTATTTGTGTTATGCGTGTGACTGGGGGTGCTCTGTGGATTCTGCCCGCGTGTGGATCAGAGAACGCGTGTGTGGTGTGTGTGCTTGTGAGATCGTGTACGTGTGTGAAGGCGTGGGAATGGGTCGGAACGTGTGTGTCCGTGTGCTGTGTGCGCGATGTGTACGTGTGGGAGTGCCTGGGGTTGGTGGTGTGCTCCACCGGGGGCTGCGTGGGTCCGAGTGAATGCCAAGTGACCCGGGAATGCGTGTGCAGGAGCGTGTCTGGAGCGGATGTGAGTGTGTGAGTGTGTCCGTGAGCGCTGGCTGCGTGTCCAGGAATGTGGTGAGTGTGGTGCGCGCCTGGGCCGTGGCTGAGTGTGTGCCCGGGGCCCGGGGCCGCCCGAGGGGGCAGTGGCAGGATGTGTGTGTGTGTGTGTGTGTGTGTGTGTGTGTGTGTGTGTGTGTGTCGCGCGCGCGCGCGCGTGCGGGTGACGCGCGAGCCCGGAACAAGTTGTCGCGCCCGGCTCCCCCGCCCCTCCCGGGTCTGGCCCGGCTGGAGGCTCAGGAGGGAGGAATGGGGCCCCCGCGGCCGCCGACTCCGACATGTCGGGCCGTTTGTTGTTTCGCAAGTTCCGCGCGGCGCTGGCGGCCGGTTGATCCGAGTCGGCGCCGGGGCTGCGGGGCGCCGGGCGGGCGGCTGGGAGAGCCCCACGCGGGAGGTGGACGCGAGGGGCGGCAGGGAGGGCTGGGACGGCGGGCGCTCTTGAGTGAGGGGCCAGGCCCGGGCAGGGCTGCGACGTCCGGGCGAGGGCAGGGCCTGGCTCTCGGCCTCCGGACGGCTTCCCCTCCGGTTGCTCGCAGGAGGCACCGCGGACAACGGGGTCTCCCGGGACACTCCCTTGGTCGACTCCGCAACTTTGTGCTGCCTCCCGGCCGGGCAGGACCGCCGCGTGTGTGAGAGTGTGTACGTGTCTCTGTGCTTGTCTGCTGTGCCTTCGTTCTGTCTTTGGGTGTGTTGCGGAGTCTGGCGTCTTTTGGCGGGGGAGGGGGGGTGGTGTGTGTGTGTGTGTGTGTGTGTGTGTGTAGGTGTATGTGTGATCGGATATCTACGCATGTATCTGGAGCTTGTGCCTGTGGGCCCGTGTGTGCTGTGGACCGTGTGTCTGTGCGCCCCACCTCCGAAAACCCCCACATCCCACCCTGAGGCCTGGGATCCCAGACTGTGGCCCTCGTCCCCGCGGAGTTGCATCCGACCCCTCCCCTGGGGCGGGGTGGCCGAGCCTCCTCCCGGGGGCCTCAGTCTCTCCGACTCCCCCTGGTTGGGCGGCTCCAGCCTGGTACCTGGGGCACCGAATAACGGGGAGACGCCCGGGGCAGGGATCAGCACCGTGCCGGATCAACACGTGCCTGAGGCGCCTGGGCCCCGGCCCGGAGACAGAGACTAATCCTGGCCGTCTGCCTCCGAGAACGAGCCTCCCTGGGATCGAGTGCTTGGTCCCGCCGTCTTCTCGGGCCTTTGGAACGCTGTTCGCAGGCTTCCAGCCCTGCGGGGGACTAGCTCTAAGGTTCCCGGGCCTTACGGCACAGCTTTAGCTTTGACCTCACCAGGCCCGAGAGGATGCCGAGGCGACCTCGCTCCTTATCCTTACCCAACCCCCCCTAGTCCCGCAGCAACTCTGTTCCCCTCCCCTGCCCTGAGATTAATCCCAAGGAGTCATATGCGCTCCCCCACCCCTATTGCCTTTACCTCGATTCCAAGAATCCTCACGTGCCCCATCTCCTGCCAGCAGGGACGATTGTCAAGAACCGAGGTTTTGGGAGTGAGACCTAGAGCACATTACTTCCATTCCTCAGGCCTCAGTTTACTTTTTTTTTTTTTTTAATTGTTGTTCAAGTACAGTTGTCTCCATTTTCCTGCAGCCTCACCGACCCCCACTTCCCACCTAGCCTCTCAGCTTCCTCATCTGCCTCAGGGGGATCATAATAACTGTGTATGGTACTTGGTAGACTGTAAAGTAAGCCTCTATCTGCGAGAGCCAGAGAATGAAAGGTGGATTGGAGGACTGTTACAGAGTGCCCCCCTGCGGCTGTGATTTGAAGCTTGGGGACCTGGTTCAAATTCTGCCTCTAGCACTTGCTGTCCTCGTGACCTTGGGCAGGTCACTTCATGGCTCAAGTTCCTGGCACCCTTGTAGCTGTTGCTTACGGTTAGAGCTTAATTCAGAAGTGCTTAGTAGAAGGAATAGGATCAGCCTGGGTTGCCAATCTAGGTACAGTCACCCGGATACCTGAATGCCTGCGGAGTCCCCCTCCCCTCCTTAGGCGGGTGGTGAGGCCTCTCAGCCGTGTAAATCGGGCAGTAAATTTCTTCCTCTGCATTCTAGCTCGTTTGGTGTTTTTGGTTGCTAGAGCTGTGGACAGCAGGAATGAGGGAAGGGCTGCCCAGTGGTTTCAGGTTGGGCAATAAGGGCTTGTTTGGGCAGCTGGCCCTTCTCCCTGGGGCAGAGGGGAGGGGACTCGGCAGGTAGCAGTGAGAGTGGCCAGAGTTGGGGTGCTGAGTTCCTGGGCAGCCTCCTGCCCAGCTCAGGTGTCAGGGAAAATCCAGGGTGGGCACCCTGCTTGCTCCAGGCATGCTGCCATCCTTCCGTGCTTTCATCAGCTGAGCTGGGCTTGCAGGGCTGGGTTAGCTAGAGTTGCAGGGCAGCCTCGTTCCCCTCCCTCCCTTAACCCCCTTCCTTCCTCCAAGCCCTCTCCCTGCATTCCCGTGCATCCTGCCCTTACCCTCTCTCAGGATCTCCCATCAGTCCCCATCTCTCCATCCCCAGGCATCTCTCACCTGCAGGAAGGCTCCAGCCTCTTTCCTCCCTCCCTCCCTCCCTCCACAGAGCCAGGGATCTTCCTAAAGTAAAACACATGTTTGGAGCCTGGGTTTGAAACCCTTTGAAGGCTCCCCATTGCCTTCATGGTTGCCTCTCCCCTGGCCTCACTGCTGGCTCTAGCTCCTGCCCACCTGTCCAGCCCCGTCTCTCTTTGTGCCCCTTTTCTCTCTGTCCTGTGCTCTGGCCAGTGTGACCCACTTTTCAGTATTTGCTAAATGCCCATTGCCCTCCATCTCCTTTCTGGACCTTTGTACTCTCGAACCCCATCTCTTTGCTTGGTGAACTCCTGCTCCTCCTTCCGTTCTCAGCTTAGGCATCACATCCTGCCTCAAGCCTTCCTTGCTACTCCCTGTTCTAGCCTTGGAAGGGAAGGAGGGGGATGATTGGATTTTTTATACCATTGTAATTATAGTATATTGGCTCTTTTTCCTTACAGACCATGAGCTGTGTGAGGACAGGGACTGAGTATTTAGTTCCCCTTTGGATCCTTAGTGCCAGGCACGAGGCCCCACCAGCCCACTCCTGCTGAGTGAAATGTATCTGGCAGGAAAGAATGAATGAAGTCCAGGGGGTCAAATTCTGAGCTGGAGGTGCCAGATGGGGGCGCAGTTATTCCACTGAAAGTAGAGATTAAAGAAATTTCCCTCCAGGAATCTGGAAAATTCTGCTGGGGGATGGTGTTGTGTGTGAAAAGGCCACGTAGAGTGTCGTCTGGGAGCTGTGAGTTAGGCAGGTTAAGTCCCTGGCAGAGAGGAAGGGAACGAGTCTCTGCCTGCCAGCCCCTCCCCCGGCTGCCCCCGTGGTCTCCCACCTCCCTCCTACCCCACCCCCAGCAGCTGGCCAGGCGTGTCAGTGGACAGCCCTTTGTGCTGGAGGCCTTGGCAGTTGCTGAGAGGCATTGAGTCCCAACTGTCAGTGAGTCAGGGGAGGAGGTGGGGTGGGGGAGACTGTGCATCAGGAGTGGGGGACTCCCTTAGTCTCCCATCTTGGAGTGGGCGGGTGGGGTTGCAGCCTGGGTCCTGGCTCCTTGTGAGCCCGAGGGAAGTGGGGAGAGCTGCTCCTTGCGGTGACTCCTGCAGGTGGGGCGAGGCGAGCGAAGGTGTGTGCAGGTGCGATTCTGGCACCTGAACAGTCAGAGAGTGTGTGTGTGTGTGTGTGTGTGTGTGTGTGTGTGATTGTGGCTGTATGATTGTAGCCCGGGGCACAGGACATATGTGTGGCCTGTCAGGACGTCTAGCCATCTGGTTACTCTGTGTGGTAGGGTCTGCATTTGGAGTAGGGAGGCAACCAGCCACTTTGATCCTGGGGAGCCTGATGCTAGGATGTCTGGGCCTCTCAGTGTTAAATTCTTGGAGTTCGGCTGCGGAGCTATGTGGTGGGTTGTGTTTCAGTATCTGGGTGTGGGTCTCCCAGTGGCAGGATGTGAAGGACCAGGGTATCATAAGGGTATCCTCGCCTCTCCGTATCCAGAGGTGGGTGTATCCAGACGCCGGGGAGCCCTCAGGTTAGTGGGTGTTCAAGGGCAGGAGTGTTTCTGTGTTGTGTCCAGCTGTGGGGCTGTCCAGCCTGGGTGCCTGGGTGCGAGGTATGCAAGCGCATGGATAGCTGAGCATGAGGTGTCTCTGTACCCAGCACTGGGGTGCATATGCATTGGACTAGCCAGTGTTTGAGTCTGGCCATGGGGTGCCCTGTGG